GACCTCGCATGACCTCGTGGTGTGGATTAATCGATTGAGAGACTCGTGTCGTGGTATTTGCTGAATAAATTAGTGGCGCCAAATGGTGCTGTTTTCATTCAAAGTGCCACACAATTGCAGCGTGCACCCATGGGAATTCGTCTTTGGCAATACAATTCCCTCTCAGCGCACACACTGGCGGGCGGAATTATGAAAAATCTTGCAGTGCAATTGAACACTGGGATCTGCCTTGCCATGGGAAATGGCATCGTGGTCTGCTAATGTGCGTCTCTTGTGAAATTACATAAGAAAGAATATTTTCTGCACAGTTTCCCATACTGTGCAACATTATGAATTCGTATGTTGCTCCACTTCTTTTTATTTACATTATCGCTTAACCTTTTTCGGGGCACACTTTCACTTTTCGGCCGCCACACATTGTTGTCGGTGTGTTTGCGCCAGTGTGGCATTAAAGAGGCTGAGGAGAAGTGCGAGCAGAAAAAAAGACTGGCGAGATTATTGCGACAGGTGCCGTGACACGAGGCGCGGGAGTGAGTTTGCACAGCGGCAGTGTTTCGGTATCCATAGAGACTATATTTATTATTCTTCGCCCAGGGTTACATTCCCATGTATGCAAATTTCCCGGAAGCGACATTTTCAGCCCCGCGTCGAAGGAGAAAAATGTCCTCCTGCAGAATTCCATCTAATGTGTGTCACTCCTGCCCATTCTGTGTTGTATCTCTGGAATCTCTCCGGGGGACATTCATTTCGACCACAAAAGAGCGCACGTTCGGAAAAATGTTTTCTCATGCAGGTATTTCACCCTCCCAATGACACACCCTCAACTCCCTCCGCCTCCAACCGTGCAGGTGAGCGTTTGTTTTCTGATTTTGTCACATTGTGAATCCCCATACAAATCTCTGGAGACGATGCAAAATAAATTGGGCCTCCCTCGTGAACTCGTCGCACACGACCTCATCCCTGCGAATCCCCGTGATATATGGCATAACAATTTGAAATGAAATACACCCCGGTCGACCGTCAACAGTTTGAGCTGTGATTTCGCATTCCTGCCTCATCCTGCGAACGACCGGGAAAGAGAAGAGCAGAATAGAGTCTAATTGTTGTCCTGGAAATTACAATTGGATCTTTCCCAACGAGATCTTTGAAGAAGACGTCAAAGTTAGAGATAATCATTTCTTAGACATATCAACGGTCTTGATTTCCTGGTCAAAACACGAGTATTTCTAAAGGGACTTTCATCACAGTCGCCAAGAAGCTCAGCTCTCGCAAGCTCGTGCCATGCGATGGCTTATCGCATTTCTATATTCCACCTCGGACGGTGTCTGTGGATCTGCCCTCGACCCTTTTGCCAAACACCGACGAGTCCGGGCTCAGGGATGAGCGACAGATATTTATTTACTGTATCGTGTTCTCGCGTCGTGTTTTCTTTCCGTTTCCGGTGAATGTCTCGATTCTTTTGCGGGCACCGTCTCGCCACTTGGCACTCGCGCTGCGCTGTCTAATGTTATTCACCCAGAGAGTGGAAGTGTGCGCGAGATTCCTCCCTTTTCCCAGCCCTCGCGCGGCAGCGGCGGCATTGTGCCAAAGACGGGGTGGATGTGTCGACAGAAGGATGCCAAAAGCGAAGATATTTCATATGGATGAGAGGTGCTGGGGCGATGTAGCATTTGTATACAACGCTGTTTAGTTGTAGAGAATCGTCAAGATTACACAGGGAACATGACAAGTATATTTGTTTGCGCGCTCTATTCAAATTACACACATTGCCTCATGCCAGACGAGATGAAATCCCTTAAGTGAGTGGAAAAAAGGATGCCTCTCTCCGCCCAATGTGTGCTCAAATGACACGAGAATAAATGTCACAGGTGTAAAGTCTAAATTTAGTACTCTTGGCTGTCTGGAATGCCTCACGATCGGGCCAAATGCAGAAACACACGTACTTAAAGTCGTCTTGATTTGTGTTAATTGAATCCATATCAACACGTGTATTCCCTGCGAATGCCTCGGCGTTTAATAAAATTATTCAACCAATTGCTTTAATGGTGAATTCCTGCCTCAAATTCTCGGCATTTCGCAAGTTCAGCGCCCAAAAACAATTTCACAAAATGTTAATAAAGGTCCTGTCAGCTGAACTGCGGCGCTCGAAAGTCCGGGTGCTCATAAAAAATTTCGTAATTCCTCAAATAGACTCCTTTTGAAGAGGCGCTCCGGGTGATGGAAAAAGCGGTTTCGCAACCTTCGACCAGAGACCCAATTTTCCCTCCAGATTTTTGATGGATCACATAATGTGCCATTGTAAATGCTCGGAGGGCCCCAAAATTGACGACGGTGGAACAGCATGTAAACAGAGTCCATAAAAATGTGGAATTTTAAGGAACAATTAACATTGAAATTTAGTGGCTGTACTTCAAATTCGAAAAGAGTGTTTCAACTCAAATTGAGACATAAAATGGCGATAGTAAAAAATCAGTTAGTCGAGACTGTGTGTCTATATAGGTGAATATCCGGCATTTGCCTGTCCTTATCGCCATGGAAGCTTCTATTTCTGGATGGCAAATTGCTTGCTGGGAATCGTAAAATTCACTCGTATAACATTCAAATTACTGGTGTGAAAATTACTATCAATTATTTAACATAAAATCTCCATTATCGGGAGGGTGAAATGCACTCGGAAAATGCCTGTCAATGGATGATTTATAATTATTGGTCGTCAAAAGTCATCTGGATGGTCTGAAATGTGTCTTTTAATTCAATTAGGGCCTCAATCAAAATCACGAACACAGCCAATTTATTAGTTGATTTCCATTTCCTCTCGCTTGCAAATAGTTTCAGCACACATTTTCTCACTATCCATCGGCATCGCGTGTGTGTGTGTGTTGAGCCACGGAATTTCCATTCTCTTGTCTCTATTTCATAAATAACTTGAGCAAGGTTGAGCATCGCTAAGAGATAAAATTCCTTTGCAGAATATGTCAAGGCTGTGGAAATTCTCTCCGATTTCCAAGGAAGAGATATTGCATTTTTTGCACTGCGCCCGATATGGAATTGCAATTAATGCGAACTCATAATACATTCTTGCCCTTTTCCCTTGCGCGCATTTCCTCAAACCGCCAGCGCGCTCAAGATGGAGTGTAGAAAAATGGTGACGTGCAATTAATTAGGATGAGCTATTTATAAACTATTTTCGCAGATGCTTTTCATTTGAGTGCCCGCGTGAGTTGTGGCAAATGATATGCACAGCATAAAAAGTTCCTCTTGATGATGGTTTTATTTAATGAAATATTCGATGAAGATGAGTAGATTTATTTTTGGGAGTCGCTGATGAGACATCGTCATAGAGATTCACGCAACCAAATCTTATAAAACATTATTAACTTCCGCATAAATTAAATTAAGGCCCATTTAGCTCTTGGGGCTGCTGATGAGGAGGGTCGCCGGTTTCTTACGCACTTTCCTGTTTTAGTTAGTCGCTCGGAAGACGTCTCAGCCCAATACACTCTGCTGTGTGCTTGCTTTGCGCATAGTGTGCCGAGATTGAGGCGAATTCAGATCTCCAAATCGATAGATTATCTTAATGCCCTTCTCACAAGACGCGCCCCCACGAGTTGGGTAAAAATGTGAAATGCTTTGACATTTTTAGAGCCCATTAGCATGAAGATGCTATATCTCGCCGAGGTTCATCTTCGGGTATAGATTACCCAGTACGATTCGAATGGATCAAATGTAAAATAAACTTTATATACACTGATGTCTTTATGTACATGCGAAATTTATGATTTTCTCCGCAGATAACGCAAAATATCCCCACCGCGCACGCCACAATGAAAGTAGCGAAAGCTTTAATTCAATAAATCGTATATTTATATGCATACACAGAGCATATGTAGATTGGAGACGCGCTCACTTCGCTCTCCCATAATCGATGTGGCTTCAGCTCTGATCTTTCAGCAGGTTACACAACTAATTTCCGGTTTATGGGAAGTTGATTGGGAATTTGTGATTTTGACAGGAAAAGTAATTGCATGTTGTGTGCTATCGAGTGACACGCGAATCACACGCACTCACCTTTCCCTGGAATGAAGTCGTGCAGTGTCTCAGTGCACTTGAGCGGCCGTGTCATCGTCGGTTGATTCCTTCCTTGTGCGGGCAGTTCATTTCCCACAGCCCGCAAATTAATTCTCTGATCATCCCGCTAAGCACTCGAGACTCTCCCCACTATCGCCAGCGCAACACAACAATGCCACAGACGAGCTTTTGTGTATGAATGAAACCGAGATAAAAATGCAAATATTTGATGATTTTTCCTTTAATGCTGACAACAATGGGGGTGAAATGGGGAGAGAATGAGCATGAGATAGGGAGGAATTATGCTGGTGTGGGGTGAAATCGTTGGCTCACCGTGTGATTGTTTATGGCAAGAGAGCTTTAGTCAGAGGCGTAGTAATCTGTCTCGATATTTTCCATATTCGAACATTCGAAGAAATTGTTTAAGAAATCTAAGATTGGAGAAATGTTTGGGTTCGTGTAGTTCAAGGGAAATTCATGGATTGAATTTGAGTTCTGCAGTAAAAGAAATTTGATGCTCTCAATTCAGTAGATTAAAGCCACGACACAGTGTGAAGTTCAGTTTTTCAGTGTCTTCTTTGTTTGAAAAAGGGAAAAATTGTGAGCACAATTTTCACTTGCAAATAACAAGTAATTTCACAGATTATAAACTTTCTGGATCATGTCAAGATTGTTTGATAGTCGCCTGATGATTATTGCAACTAGTTTTCGAAGCGTCCGCAAATTTTCCTGAAGACCACAATGTTGTGCTCACTGTGCCACTGTTCTGAACTTTCAGGCGGAATGGCAGAGATGTTCGCCCGGAAGTGGCAACGAAGAAGTGGAGGGAAAAAATGATGAAAAGCGCGTTTTTCCAAGAGTCTGCTAAGTCAGGGCAATGCTAGAGGGCTCTTCCTATCTGCATAATAATGGGAATTCTCTGCTCTTTGCAGGCATCTCAGGAGTGGTTAATTGACGAGGAACATCACAAGGTGGAAAATGCTCCTGCAGTCCGGACATATCGGTGGCGCAGAGCAGCAAAGAAATGGGCCGTCGACGGAAAAGGGACAAGCAGCGGCTCTTCCTGTGCCACTCCAGTCGTTCGAGGTGTCCAAGCAGCTCGACAATATCCAGGACAATCTCGGCGAGGGATGGACAGTGCACCTGGCCAAGGATGGCCGCCTCTACTATTGCAAGTGAGTGCTCAATGGGGTGACTCTTCGCCATAATTGGCTGGGACAATTTGGAAATTGTGTCATGTATTTAAAATGCCGTGCGCGAGAGTTCACGCCAATGAAATCCGAAAGAGTTCACCGCACACATGTGCTCGAAATGGCATAATTGGCGTGACAACAATTTGAAGCGATTTTAATTGAATGAAGAGGATGGCTTTCAGTGGGAAAAGAGACATGAAATTGATGTTGAACTTCCATTTTCCTGACACTGACGAGCTTTTCCATCAATTAATGACTATTTTCAAGCTAATTGTGAATATTTTTTTTCCACCTGAGACGATACAAGGTGATAATGGGTGAATTTGTTGTGTATGAAACAATTTCCTCCTGAGAATTTCCCCGTGTCCAAAAATTCCCCAACACTAATTGCTATTTGTTTTAATTAAATTAAATCACTTCGCACCAAATTGTTACTATTATGTTTATTGTGCCTCGCAATTGCCATGCTGTTCATGGGTGTTCATCGTACTTTGCATGCGAGATGTCGCGCCGGGGATGTTAAAGAGGAAGTGTCCGGAGTGAAAACTTTCGGCGAAGTTCTTTTTCCCATCTTCTCCGTATACCTATATTTATCCGAAGGGACTCTTCTTTATTACAGTGCTGAGCTGTGTAGGTATTTCTTTCTCTCAATTTTGCTTGGGTGAGGAGAAAAAAAGTCACACAACAACGTGCTATTATTTTCACATTGTCTACCCACGGACTATCGTCTTTTTTATATCCTCTATCTGCCACATTTGTTTCTGAGCCAATATCTAAATGAAGTTATACAACGCCGGGCGAAGGAGAGCAGAATTCCCATCGCCTGGGTGATGATGATGAGTGTAATGCTGGTGGAGCAATGAACTTGCAAGACTGTCCCATGTACGAGACGCTTAAATTTGTGGAGATTGCTTTTATGTGCGAAATATGAGGCAACATTGTACACAATGATGCGAGTGGAAACCCCCACGGGAGAGTGCTGTAAATTGGCGAACAAGTAGTAAATGTGTGGGGAAACTTGCAATTCGATAAGGGTGAGGAATTTTCAAAATTGTAACTGTCGTGGAGAAATTCTCGTCAGGTTTTTTATTATTACCACTTCATGACGAAGGAAAAGAGCGAGATTCATGGTGGAAATTTATTTTATTGCTCTCGTTAGTGACATGGGCAGGAGAGAAATGGGTGAAACATTTTCTTTTGTAGTCAAAGAACAAACAAATGATATATGGTTGGGAGGGAATTTATGAAAAGGGGAGACTTTAAGTGGCTCCAACCCGAAAGGGACATAATAAAGTGGATTAGAGAAAATAGAACACTTCACATTTCATATGGCATTACAATCTGCCCTTCATTCAGCTGTTTATCCACAAGATGCACACCTATATATGTATATAAAATGTGTGTGAAAATTCATCAAACTTCTCCAATCCCTCCGCGAAAGTTTCCACCTAGTGTCAGATTTCTCTGCTCGTGTCATTTATAGCAATTTATTGGCGTCGACACCCATGAAACTCGTGTAATTAAATCCAATTATGAATGTCGATTTAATTTCATTCACGGAATTCCTTCCACTTCGCTTAGTATCTCACGTGCTTCAAATACAAATTTAATAAGACTTATCACTGGCAGGGCGAATTCGATAAATATACAATTGCAAAAGGATTTGAGTTGCGCATGAAAGGACGAAGTGTGTAGTATGAATGTAATTGCAAATGATTTTCTGATCGTTTGACTGGCGAAAAGTTGGATGTAATTAAACGAGGAGCAATTGGAGGGCAGTAATTAATTCAAATTGATATGAATTCGAAACTCTTTGCTCAAATTCTCATTTAATTCCTTCAATACTACGCGCTGAAATTTTACAAAATCAATTCCTGCACCTCCAAAGTACCCATAATTATTTCCATGGCGAGGCGACAGAGTTGAAGAGGTTCTAGAAAGAGTCAATTCAATTGACTACAACTATTCTTGGAATCCACTTTAAGAGTTGAATAACTATGAGCACTAATGCTTTTCATTTGTAGTGTTTCCTGGAGATTTTGGCTTTTATGTGTGCCTAATTGAAAATGCTCTCATGTGATTGTCTTGAAAATTCAGGGGAGGAAATGCAATTATCAACTCTGACACTGAGGGATCGTGTGTGAGGAGAAAGAGCGTGGAATTTCAATTAAAGCACAATCCCCAACTCATCGAACGTGTGCAGAGGTAAATTATCGCTCTCCACCGCTGCTGTCAATTTTCCCTGGCGACTCTTCCGCCCAAGAAAATTGAAAATTGTGAAAGCCACCACTTGAGGATGTGCGCGCTCTCCCACGAAATCCTAAATGTGGTTTTCCGGAATGGTCGAGCCACGGAATGTGACACAAAAAAGCCACCCCTCGATGCTGTTAGGGAGGAAATTAAATAACAAACCTCCTCACGTTGGGCACTTTTCCACTTTGCCTCCAAATGTCCGAACATCGCCGCTTTCGAGGGGGGGTTTTAGGGGTGGAAAGCATGGAATCAGGGGTGATATCGTGGTGTAAGTTGCTGTTGAGGGAAAAAAAACTCTCAGTGGCGAATTAAAATGTCAAATGTGGGTTTTGCGGTCATATAAATTTGTAGTTGGCACGCAAAAAATTAATTTCCCTCAACACACTGTGCATCCATTTGCCACGGTGGAAATATGTTGGAAAAACACTCCACCCACGAAAAATGCTACATATATTTTCACCCTAAACCAGGCGACCATAGATAAAAAACTATTTTGTGAAGCGGCGAGCAGAGAATTAATATTAATTTACATTCCTGTACGTCTGCGTGCGATGACAGGCATTTGGCGTTGAGGAATGGAAAGTGCTTTTATGTGGTGCTATTTCCCAAAATCACTGCACTACACGCACACACTCACACAATTTCCCTTCGCACGAGAGTGTGCGGAAATATAGGGAAAACACTCATCCAAAGGCCATGCAAAGTGGGTCGAAAGGAGAGGGATGAAAATCATTTTATTGTATCCTCACGTTTTCCCCGCATTTGTGGCGAGGGAAATATGAGAAAAATTTTAATGAAGGCCATCAATCATAAGCTGAGCTTGGTGAGAACAAAATCAGCAGAAAATAGCAGTTCGACAGGTATTGAAATTTAAATTTGACGCTTGTGGAAGTGGAAATTTTACCCTCAAATTATATTAAGCGCCAAGAGAATATTTAAATATTGAGGGTTGAAATTGTTGCGCTCTTTCATATTCAAATAAATTCATTGGAATTGACAGAATGAAATGCGATAAGATTGCCGTATTCAAAATCAACCGGGAGAATAAATGTAATTTTACTCTCACTTTGGGGCATTAAATGATCAGCTAATATTATTCAAATGCAGGCGTTTTATACATTTTCATCTTTTATACATTAATTTTGGATTTATGTGAGCTTGAAACCAGTCTAAAACTGCCACAAATTTTGTGATCGCGATTTAGAGAATGTGTGAAAAACATTTTGATGAGGTTTTGTTTATAATTGGTTGATAAAATGCACAAATTTTCTCTGAAAAAAATCAAAATTGTGTGCATTTTGAATTTATTGCAACTGAGTAAACTTCTGGTAGACTTCTGGTGATTTGCAATTTAATTCTGATATAAATATTAATGCTGTTTTTCTAAACAAATTCTACAAAAGCTCAAGTTTTCCGCAAGATTAAGCGTACTTCGTTGGTTTTCCCTCTGTGTTGTCCTTCATATTATTGTAGTAAGAGATAATAATGAAATCCCCAGCTCAGTTATTGTCACATAAAGGGAAATTTAATTCCATCAAATGCTGCATTCTCGCATGGCGTAGTGTTTTATTAAGTGACCACTCCGCGAGATCCAATAATGTGCATATCTGCCGGTGCGGAAAATGATTAAATATTAGTCAGGCGCTTTGGCAGTGGGTTAAGCACAGTGGATGGGAGAGAAATGAGTGCCATCCACGTGATCCTATTAGAGGCGAGAGCGTGTGCTGAAGACTTATCCACTTTTCACACTCACTCGCCAAAGAGACTTACCTGGGCAGATCATCAATATAATTATTTAATTTGCGCAGCGATAAATTTCACGTTGCTGAGGAAATATTGTCTCCTGACGTCATCCTATTTGTCAAGCTCAACAACATGTTTTGTCCACAATCATCTTCTTGTCCAGGTGTGTGTTTGTGTGCGGATGAAGAGCGCGTGTTTGCCCTCCTCCTTGCCAGAGTCGCTCGCAGAGAATCTGAGCTCTCGTCAACTTGATGGCATTCCATGAAAGATGCCCGGGCATCAAATGCTGGGGATTTCAAGTGCCTCCCTGGCTCTCGCCCTCCGCCATCCGCTCAGCTCTCGTGTAATCGATGTAATCTGCAGTTATTTTTAGAGGGGAGATTCATAAAACGCAAAATGACGTAATTTGGATGACAAACTTGTGAGTTCGCACAGGAAAAATATTAATAAGTTGATAAAGTTTATAAATAGATCAAATGGAGTGTCGAGAGAATCCTGTCATCATCTCTCCAGATGCCTATCTGGCACTATCTCGTGTCACTCCTGCTAATCCGCAGGGTTGCTTTTGGGGTTGCTTAAGAGGCCCAACTTTCGTCGGGCACGAACAAAAAATTTCTATAGACTCATTAGAGTGCCCCTCTCCACAGAAATCTTTAGTAAAAGGCGAAAGATTTATTTGACACTGAAGAGAGGCCAGAGTGACGACGAACAGCTCTGGAGCGACTCTTGAGCTGGGCGCGTGGCTGTTGTTCGCCCGACGTATATGCTAAAAGAAACAAATATCACTTGCAAGGCGTTTTGATGGGAGATGAACATGAAATATGGTCAATGCATGATTTTGAATGCTGTCGAGAGATTCGTCAATACATTTTCTCCAAATATTTTCGTTATACTCACACAATACAGTGACTCCAATCGAAATAAGACCACTTCAACATTGCTGTGAAATAATATCTGCTTGCGTGTGGCGAAAATGTGTTTTAGGA